TGGAAGTGTCAGAAAGCTTAAAGTAAAAGAATGAGTTTTGCAGCCCTCACGGCGAAAGCTTGTTGTCGTTTAAGGTCTGACTGGAAAGATGGAAGGTCGAAAAAATTAGCTGCTAGCTTCGAGAATTATTGTTAGTGCTAAGCTCCGAAAGTTCGGACACATTCCCCACAGAGATTGGAGTCGATCTCTTGATTACCTATAAACTTTTATGCTTTCGAAGCATAATTGTAGGGAAACACCCCACCAAGCTAAAGTAGGGGGGGGGGACTCGCATGTTCAAAACTCCTCCGCTGATAGGGCTCTCAGGGGACGTATCATACTGCTGCGCCGATGGTGTTGCTTGAGTGCAAATGCAGTTAAAAAGTCATCAAGCATTTTTACTTGCTTGCGTTTGCTTAGCTTGTAGGGAATAGCTCTTTGAACAGTTTCTTTTCCTGCAGTAGATATACGATACTCCGAAATTTATGCCGGGAAAACTAGACGTCTGGACAGATTCGTCTACCACTACAGACCATTTGTTCCTTAGTCTCCGCAACCACGAAACATAGACACGTCGTCCGTTGCCTTGTGCGGTCGTGTTTTCTGCTCTGCCACCTATATATCTATATTTCCTTTTATCTCTATGATAGTCTTGGCTTGGTATTCTTATAAAAGAAGATGACTATAATCAAAAGCGACGACTTGCTTGAAGTTGCTTTGAAGTATCGACAGCGATCGATCGCAGCTAAGTTCAATCTCTTTACATAGATTGGTAGATCAAGTATTACAAATCACGTCACAAAGGAAGTTTCGCTCTTAAAATACGAGGGAAAAGCAAGGTACATACTAGTGCAGTGTATGGAAGTTGGTCGGATTCGGATATTGCAAATCTGCCTTTATGTGAGATAGTAAGTGCGATGATCGAGCAGGACCACTAAATTCGGAACCCTGTAGTGGGTCATCGCTCTCTCGCAAACTTCCAAAAGATATCTCAGATGCTGCGGCTGGGGAGGAACCCGGAATCACCTCTGCAATATATGGGATACCCGAATCAGCTGATGAAGAATTAGACGTCTTAGCAGTGGGATGTAGGCCATTTAAGGTTTAGCATGGGTATCTCATTCGGTTCTCGTCCGGGTCTGATAAACTGGTTTTTCTATCAGGAATTCGATTAGATCGCAGTTATATCCAGCAGCCGTCGTATGGCTCGACTATTCCACACTTCACAAGAAACCCTTTCAATCCTCTTCTGTGGACGAATGTGCGGTGCGCTTGGTTACCATTCAAGGAGGATCCTCGTCCACAAAGAAGAACGCGCACAACGGTTGTGGACATGAAGAAGTGTTTGCTGTTATGAAAAACAAGGTGAAACCTAAGCACTGCACCGGTTCATTAAGATCGTGCTGTGGATAAACGATGCTCTGAAAACTGAATCACCTGCAAAGTTCTTTGCGTCTCTTTTTACAGCGCCTTAGTCAGTTCCAATGACATCACGGGGGGTAGTAAACTTCTACTAGATTTTTGCTCTGATTCCAGTACAACCCCCAGAAAACTCGACAGAAATCTGAAGTCGCTCACTACTTCTTCTTCGTTGCTAATCGATGTTGGAGGATTTCGAGAAATGATTACCGCTATCTCTAATGCTCCCGTTTGTGACCTGGTCTCCTCTCCCGTGCAATCAGTATTGCTTCACCAGCTGCTAAGGTTTAGGAAAACCGGTGCGTGACAAACTTGCAGCTCTTTTCCGCAAAAACTTGATAGTACCCCCTCAAAACAACGCAGATTTGTAGAAGATGCAAGTATTCCATGGCTTACTGCTTTTTCAACTGGAGTTCGGCTATTAACAAAGGTCAAGATGTAAAGGTTGCAAGTAGAGACAGACAGAACCGATGCATAGGGGGTCCAAGAGAGAATTCTATTGACGATCAGTACACCGTAGGGTCAATGGTTGACCAGACGATTGTGTGAGATCAAGAGATCAGGCGCGAGTCTGCCAAGGACTTGAGACTCACTTACGGCCCCGATCTCAAGTTTTCTTCCCATATAGACAGCGTGGTAAATGAAGCTTCCTCTGTTTTGTTTCTCATCTTGCGCAATGTGCTAACAAACGACCACAGAATTTTAATTCGCTTGTACAAGGCACATGTTCTCCCTCATCTCGAACACTGCTCTCAGGTATGGAGTCCGGTGCTCAAAAAGGATATTGCTAAACTTGAGAAAGTCCAGAGAACTTTCACGAGAATCTTGTTTCTCAGAATGTTTCCTGGCACGGAGTACAGGCTGATACCTAATTATGAAGATCGTCTAAGAATGTTTGGTTCAATGAGTTTGATGACAAGACGTAT